CAAAGGAGCCCAACAGAAATCGCAAAAGCATCTCAGCGGCAGCTCAAACGAACCACAAAGGAATCTAAGGAATTTGGAAAACGCGGGCTCGCGTGGACATAAGCAATCCCTATTGCGACCGCGCTAGGGAAATTGATTCTTTCAGGGGATCCTATGGAGTCCACGGAGAGATTTCGCAGACGCATTCCGCGACCCCCCCCGCGATATGTTAGCACATGTATTAAAAATAAAATAATCCACCGGCCCCGGATGTCGATGTGATGCTCTCTTAAGCAATGGGGTATCAAACGGATATGACCGGAGCCTCAAGGGACCCCCAGAAAAAACAGAAGGAAAGCCAGAGGAGTCTCAAAGGAGTCCCAAAATAATCACAATGGAAACGGCAAGGAATCTCAAAAGAAGCCAATCGGAGTATCAGAGGAATCTCTGAGGAATCTCACAGAAACGCACAGAATCACAGGAAGCGACTCTGGGCAGGTGTGCCTTGTCGCTGGGCTCTGGACTACAAGGGGACCGGGCATTCAGATGCTTGTGGAGGCCTTTCTGGATGTCTCCTGGGAACCTCCGGGGACCTCCCCTCCGCGGACCTCTGGTGACCTGCGGGGGATATCGCTTCCGCCCCGGCCCCGGTGCCGGAAGCGTTATATTTTCCTCTGATGAGGGGGGGGGGGGTTACTGATTGCTTCCCAGGGTTAAGCACCCCTAAAAAAAGGAACGAAGCCCCTTTTTGTCATAAGTTAACCTTCGACTTCCCACCAAAAACTTCAGGAAAACATTGGGCAAGGTGTGGAACAATTAAGGAACACCGAGCCCCTCCCCAACGAAAAGGGTTCCTTCTTCAGCGTCCCGACTGTACAGGGGGAGTCTGGACGAACAATGAAAGATGGCCGGAAACTGCCCCAAACGGCAAAACAAACATACCCCCAAAATATCGTCCCCAGGCTGTGTTTTGACTATCTTTTTTCAAATATTCCGCCTGTACAGGGACAGGCCCGACTTCATTCCATTCTTTCACCTCCTCCCTGCCCACGGGCGTGCGACGGGTGTCGGGCGTTGGCAGAGCTGGGTTTAGTGGAACCTGGTTTAATGATCTGTACCGGGGGCGCCCCCCCCCCGTTCCATGTCCACGAACCGGAACTGCCGTCACCCGAAAAGCACCAGCTGTGGCAAGCCTGGTTTAGTGATTCTGGCCAATTCAACGGCTCCGGGGTCCTACCGCCCGGCTACACGCAAGAGTGACCCTGGGTAAGAGTGACCTTTGGTGCGCGGCTTTTTGGGGGCCGCGGGGGGACCAAACCTGGGCGCGCACGCCGCTGCTCCTGCTTCGTTTTCAGCCACCTGGGGACCCCTCTGTGCCCGCGCCAAAAGTCACTCCGGCGAAAGGTCACTCTTACGTCAAGTCGATACCACTGACCGGGTCCCCCGACCTGGGGCCCTGGCCATACCCGAGGGTGGCTCCGGGGACGGCCGGGGCCCTCCCGCCGGGCCCGGGCCAGAAGAGGGGACGTCCTGCAAGCACGCGAGCGAGGCCCTCCGTCGGCCAGGACCGCGAGAGAGCGTCCAGGGGCACCCTCCCCGGGATGCACAGAACACGCCCCGCCGCACACGCAGAACAGACGGTCCGACTGCTGACTGTAACACGGGACGCTGCCTGCGGATACTCCTCCCCGCTGCCGGCCCCTTCTCCGCCAGGGGTGGCGGCGGGCTTCCCGGGGCGCCTGCGTGGCTCCGGGGGGGGACCTTATGGGGGCCCGAGGGGCCCGCCCCCCAGGGGAAAGCACGGTACACTTCGCTGTGCGGGCATCGTGACGCGGCGTATTCGCCGGACACCAGCTCGCGGCGACCAGGGGTGCGACCGTGTAGAGATGGACAGTCTAACAAACAGGAGCAGTCAAGAGGCCCCGAGGAAGGCCCAAGAGGCCCCCAGAGGCTTCCCCTAGAGGCCCCCCAGAGGCTCCCAAGAATACCCCAAGCTGCGCCCGAGAGGCCCCCCAGCTCCCAAGCGACCCCGAGAAACCTCCCTGAGGACTCTGACCGGCAACCCTGGCACGGTGGTGGGATAGGCTGGAGGCCATTCGATGACACGCAAGAGAGGTTCGACTTCCGAGTCTGTCTTGTATGCCGTTTGCGTGTTTTGTCTGGGACCTCTTCAGGGCCCCTCTTGGTGCTCCCCTGGGCTGTCCTCGGGGCCGGCGGAGGCTCCTTGCGGGGTTTCTGGTGACTGTTCACTCTGCCAAAGGGCCCTCATCGGTCACGAAAGATTCTTGGGCGGTCTGGGGTCTCTCGTGGGCTGTCTGGGGGCGCTGTTGGAAGCGCATCGGGCCGTCTGGAGGGGCTCCTGGCCACCTCGTCGGCGGTCTGGGGCGGTGATGGGGGCAGGGAACATGAGAGGGTGAAGACGTTTCGGAAGCTGGGAGACAATCGTTGTTTTTGTTGCCTCTGGGGCCGCTCCGATGGGGAACGCTCAAATCGTTGAACAACCAAGGGGGGATCAATGCTTTCTGAGCTCGGGGTGCTCGGAGGGCCATCAGAGAGCGGTCTCGGGACTTCCCGTTGGAGCCCGTGGTGGCATTAGGGGGCCATCAGCCGACTCTGGGAGCCCTCTGGGAGAGTCCAAGGACTCGGAGGAGGAGGAGGAGGGAGTGGAGGAGGAGGGATAGGAGGAGGAGGAGGAGGAGGAGGAGGAGGAGGAGGAGGAGGAGGAGGAGGAGGAGGAGGAGGAGGAGGAGGAGGAGGAGGAGAGAGGAGGAGATGGAGGAGAGAGGAGGAGGAGGCGGAGTAGGAGGAGGAGGAGGAGGAGGAGGAGGAGGAGGAGGAGAGGAGGAGGAGGAGGAGGAGGAGGAGGAGGAGTGCGTTCTGGGTGCCTTCCTGGAGCGGCTTCGGGCCCCCCGGGAAGGCGGTGGGGCCGCGCCTCCTGGGCCCTCTGTTGGGCGGCGAGCGAGGGGGGGAAGTGAGAAGGAGAAGGCCTTCGCAGAAGGCGGCGGGACTTCTTCGAAACCCATCGCGCCTTGCGGGAAGTTTTTTTGGTCCTCGGGGAAGGCTGCTTCGACCTTCGAACACTTCTCAGAAGGCCGGGGGGCTTCCGAACCTTCTGAGAAGGCCTTCTCCTTCTCGCTTCCCCCCCTCGCTCGCCGCCGATCTCTGTGGCTCTTGTGGGCCGTCTTGGGGCTCTCTTGGGTGCCCGGCTGCCGCGGCATCCCCCCAGTGTGATTCCAGTCGATCGACGCTGCCCTGCGGGGGCCCCAGATCTGTGACCAACAGCGGCGCGGCCCCGAGGAGGAGGAGGAGGAGGAGGAGGAGGAGGAGGAGAAGGAGGAGGAGGAGGAGGAGGAGGAGGAGGGGGAGGAAGAGGAGGAGGAGGAGGAGGAGGAGGAGGAGGAGGAGAAGGAGGAGGAGGAGGAGGGGGAGGAGGAGAAAAAGGAGGAGGAGTACGCCGGCCACAGCCTCCGCAGTGTGATTCCAATCGATCGAGACTGCCCCTTGTAAGGGGCCCCTCGGCGGCCCTGCCACGGCGCCAAGACGGCCCCACGGCGCCCCCACGCCGGCCCCAAGATGCCCCCCAGACGGCCAAGAGAGGTCCAAGACGACCCAAGAGAGCCCCAATGCGGCCCAAGATGGCCTCAAGGCTGCCCAAGAGGACCCCAACACGACCGCGAGGGACCCCCAGTGCTGCCACACAGGAGCCCCAGAAGAGAGCTCCTCGAGAAGTGGCGATGAAAGGTGTCACACGTGAAGGCCTTCGGTGCCCGAAGCTTCGCCACCCAACGGCCTGAGCTGGCATGGCGTCGGGACTTGCCGCAGGCACCCGGATACCAATCGAACGGGCTCCCATGGCATGATGACAACGGACGTTTCAGACAAAGCCTGTTTTGGGTAGATGCTTGGCTTTGGGGGGACCGTCTGTGTGGCTGTCCTTGGGCCTATCACCTGCCCTCGGGACGGCTAGACGACAATGGGCCGACGTATACACGACTTATGATGCACAGCCCCCAGTCGGAGGGGGAGGGAAGATGGGGGAAGGGGATAGGGGCGGGGGAACGAACGTCCACCGGTGCGGACAGCTGTTCGGGCCTCGTGAGACCAGGTGAGTGAGGCCGTAGTTTCCAGATCCTGTAGCGCGTGGTGCATCATGCGCGCGAGACATACAACAAGTTGAGTGGGGCAAAGGAAGAGGACGAGGTGGAGGAGGAGGAGGAGGAGGAGGAGGAGGAGGAGGAGAGGCGGGGGAATCTCGTTGTCGATGTCGTCGTGTATTGGTGGTGCCACGGGAGGGGGGATGGGGAGGGGATGGGGATGGGGAGGGGGAGGGGGAGGGGGAGGAGGAGGAGAGGAGGAGGAGGAGGAGGAGGAGGAGGAGGAGGGGAGGAGGAGGAGGAGGAGGAGGAGGAGGAGGAGGAGGAGGAGGAGGAGAGGAGGAGGAGGAGGGAGGGTGGTGGAGGAGGAGGAGGAGGAGGCATGGAGGAGGAGGAGGAGGGGGAGAGGAGGAGGAGGAGGAGGAGGGGGAGGAGGAGGAGGAGGAGGAGGAGGAGGAGGAGGAGGAGGAGGAGGAGGAGGAGGAGGAGGAGGGGGAGGAGGACGAGGGAGGAGGAGGTGGATGACAGGACAGCGCAGCACAACGGATGGTACAGAGAACGGGGACACGTATGGCACCAGCACCGCCATCATCGCCAGCTCCCTGAGCACACACGGTCAAAATTCGCCTCCAGGCTCGGAGGATGGGGCAGCGCACTTCGGCACTCAGGGGGGCCCACCCCAGCAACGTCAACAAACCGCCTGCAAACCCGGACCCCTGACGTCATGACTTTTTCATTACATTGACCCATGGAAGTCTCGACCCATTCCCCTGGACCGGTTTTTCATCCTGAGCCGGTTTTTGACGGCCCCGAGGGCCGGCAAAGGCCGGTACAGTGGAGGTCCGTCCACAAGAGACCTTCCACAGGAAACCCAACACTGATACCCCAGGAATGCATGGATTCTTAGTTCGGGAACGTCACGCCCTCCATCGCAGAACCATCGACACCCAAGCAATCCAGGGCACCCTGGAGGCAAGCAGGGTGTGTCTTGGCACGGGCCCCCGCTGTAGGGCAAGCAGGCCGACCCCGATGCTCCCGGGGCCTCCGCGGTGGGCGCCCTGGGCCGAGAGAGGCGGGCGGCACGCGCTCAGCGCGCCGCGCGTGCCCCGAGTGAGGAGAGGCGCCCTGCCGGCTCGGGGAAGGGCACCAGGCGCCCGCCCGCGAGGAGAGCCGGCTTGAAGCGCTCGCAGGGGGACGAAGGATGGCGCGCAGCGGAGGCCAGTCCACAAGACACCTGCTGCAAGAAACCCAACCTGGAGACCTCAGGACGGCCCTTGCCTTTCTGTGGTGTGGGAGCGTCGCGCTTTCCATCGCAGAACCATCGAAACCCAAGCAATCCAGGGCACCCTGGATGCAAGCAGGGTGTTTCTTGGCATGGGCCTCCACTGTAAACATAAGAACTCTGAGGTCCGCGCGGATTCCTCGGATCGGCGCTGGACCTCCCCTGGCGGCGCCTCCAGCGCCGCCCCTGGCGCACTCCGCGCGCCCCAGCGAGGGGGGTCCAGCGCCGATCCGAGAAATCTACGCGGACCTCAGAGTTTTTATGTTGATGTCATTCTTCGTTCCCCTAGCTCGGGCACCTCGCTGTCCATGACGGGGCTGTTCCGGAAACGCAGGATGTTCGCCCTCAGGCCTTGGGCACGGGACATGGTCACTGCGCAGACTTTGGGGGACGAGGCGTGAAGCTGACGGCCCTCAAATTCCTTGATGAATTCTCGCAGCTGTTCCTCAGTGGTGAAGTTCACGAAGCCGAACCCCTTGCAGAGCTCCCTTTCGAAGTCCATGGGCACGTATACGAAATCATAACCACCTGCAAATCCTTTCCGATCCAGATCCCGAATCAGTTCCCCGCGCGTGTAACTGCACGGCAAATTGCGAAGCATCGCTGTGGTCTTTGCTTGGGACTTGGTCAGGCTCTGCTGCGGGATGCCGAGAGCAGGGGAGACTGGGGACTCGCCCGCCGTCTGCGCCAAGCGCGGAGCGAACGCCGGGGCCCTGCTGCTGAGTGGGCTGGACGGGACGAACTTAGGGGCCAGCCCGTTGAGAGGTGTACGCCGCTCGCTGGAAGTCTGAACGGACTCTTTACTTGCAACCACGCTTTCGCCAACTTTGACGGTAGAGCTGACTTCGTCCACACAGCCGAAGATGGTGATCCCTTGAAGAAGAGAGAGCGGCATATCCTCGTCCTCGGAGTCAGAGAGGACGTCGGCCCAAGAGCCCAGGCGACTGGCGAGTGGGAAGACTACGGCGGAGTCCTTGCTGCGAGTGCGAACTGCGGGATGGGCAATGCATGAACTGGCACCAGACATCAATTCAGATGCAGAAGCTGCCTCCTTGTGATCCAACTACGTGAAACGTGATTACTGAAAGATCGTGTGCGGGGCACTAGGTTCGGTACGCTTGCTGTGGAATGTAAGCGTGTGACATATTGAGCCCAAACGGCCGCGGAACTTCATCGGGAAGAGTGGTGGAATGCCGAGCTTCCTTAACCGATAGCACAGCGCAGAACTCGAGATCACCCTACGCGTAATCAGAACCTGAACAAACTAATTTAGCAAGGACAGCTTCCAAGCCGACCCTCTCGCTCAGGAACTCGCGCCTCACTGCGATATCTTAGGACATCCTGGCGATTAGAGCTGCGCTGGACTGCATGAAGTCATGTGCGTGCTCCGAACAAGGCAAGGCAAGGACTTATGCTTCTTTGTTCGATTGTATTTGGACAAGTCGCTTTGAAGATGCCTACGCTGACAGCATCAGCGCTGCCACTGCCATCGCAAACCATCAGTTCTCTCTATGGCGTTATTGCCACTGACTGTAATCACGCATTCGAAGGGCGAACAACCTCGAGTTTTCCACCCTGCCTGTATCTCCTGGCCTGCTTCGCGCACGCAGCACAGTCGAACAGGCAGAGCGATCAACGAACATCAGAGTGAGGGGGCCGAACGGTCATTCACTGTATGCAAACTGTTGCTGTTGTGGTTGATGTTTGTATGTTTGTTTGTTTGTTTGTTTGTTTTGTCTCGGCTTCCGTCTCCCTCCCGCCGCCGCCAGGCGCCTCCTCTTTCCTGCTCGTGCATCGTGACTTAATTCGCGTGACTTATGACCTACCAACGCCCTATCCGCCAGCGCAGTGACTCTGCCTAGCCGCCGACGAAACATTTCTTTGTTTGTTTGCTGTTGTTCTTGTTATTATTGTTGTAAGTGTTGTTGCTGATGTAGTTGCTGATGTTGTTGTTGCTGCTGTTGCTGTTGCTGTTGCTGTTGCTGTTGCTGTTGCTGTTGCTGATGTTGATGTTGTTGTTGTTGTTGTCGTTGTCGTTGTTGTTGTTGTTGTTGTTGTTGTTGTTGTTGTTGTTGTTGTTGTTGTTGTTGTTTGGCGCTGTCCCCCCCGCGAACCGGCCCGCGACCCACCCGCGACCGCGACCCGCCTGCGACCCCCCCGCGACTTACCCGCGACCCACCCCTCGTCCCACCCGCGACCTCCCCCCGCGACCTCCCCCCGCGACCTCCCCCCGCGACCTCCCCACGACCCACCCACGACCAACCCGCGACCCACCCGCGACCCACCCGCGACCCACCCGCGACCCGGCCCGCGACCCACCCGCGACCCACCCGCGACCCACCCGCGACATACCCGCGACCCACCAACATTGCTTTAACGAAAGATCGGCGCCTGCGGCGGGCTTCTTCGGAGCCTCGCAGACTGCAGACGTCCCCGCCGCCATCTCACTCTTATCCGCAACTGCGGGGTGCTACGTCATATATTTCCGGGGTTTGGTGGCGGAGGGGGAGAAGGAGGAGAAGCCCTCCACCCCTGTGTCGAATCAGCTCAGGCTGCTTGGATCATCGCGCGACAGACGGCGACGCTCTGGACGGCATCTGCAAGCTTGCAGCAGAGGATGCGACTTGTTCTCCTCGCCTGACGCACTATAGGTTCGCGAGAACGTCACCGGTGGGCCACTGGACCCAGAAGTGTGCCCGCCTGCGGACGCCGTTGCCGGCAGCCGCGATCGCTGTCTTTTGTAAGTGTCTTTTGGGGTGGCCTGTGTATAATTCAGCCCACTTGCCCTCTCAGCGGGTGGGGGACAGTGGGCCGACGAGTACTTGACAGGATCATCCTGATGACCCACATGTCCCAATAGGAAACAGGCAGAGAGGAGAACGGACAACCGACGCCCTGGCGTGCCCCTGCCACGCCTGCTGCTCGGCCAGCAGAATGGCCCCGGAGTCGCGTGTAGCTTCTCCTCCTCCTCCTCCTCCTCCTCCCCCTCATTACATACGGTCCATCTCGAGATAGAACGCACGAAGATCCGCCACCGTGCCCTTTGTCATGTTGAGGCGCGAATGTCAAGTGCTATCTCTGGTTGGGTCCTTCAGTCTTCTGATGGACACTTCCCCCCCCTCCCAGCACAGTTCTGCATGCACCACCCTCCTCTTCGGAAGCTTCCTGGGCGTTCCGACGCCTCCCTGGCGCGCTCCACGGCGTTCGAGACTGCCAAGACGGCTCGGGCAAGCCACTGAGGCCGCCAAGATGGCTACTGCAAATGTCGCCTTGCGGGGAATACAACAGCCCCTCAGAAGGGCCGAATCGATCCCACGAGGACTTTGACAGGTCCCCAGAACCTCCCAAGACGCTCTCCAAGAGGCCCTCGAGGGATTCATGAACGACACCTGTGTGTTTTCAATGCTTTTCTCTCTCCACGCCCTTCGGTAGAAGTTCGGCCCACCTGCGGTCCTCGAAATTCCAGCATGCCCGAGAGCACGCTGAGAGGCCAGGAGGGCCTCCCCCGAGACATGGGCGTGGCTGCTGCCTCCAACCGGACGCTCAGTGCCGCAGGAACGTGGGGGGTATAGGGCTCGGGTGGTGACTCTCCGCTATGCTGCACTCTGCTCTGGGTGGGTCGTAAAGGAGGGGGGGTGTCCCAAGGTGGGGTTCGGGAGCGAACCCAGCCAGATTCGAGGGCTACCCCAAGCTGGCCCACGAGGGCCTCCAGAGCGACCCGAGGCGGCCCAAGGCGCGCCGCCTCGCGCCCAGCTCTCCTCCGGAGCCCCAAGAGGCCGTGCGGTGACGCGCCGCGGCGTGACCTCGGAACCGCCAACGACCTCACCGCGCGATCCGCCACCGCACGGCTTGATGACCTTGGAGGCCCCCGTCGCCCGAGATGTCTTTTGGAGGACGACCCGAGTCTTAGGTCGGGCATGTGCCCCTACAGGCGGATTGTGGAAGAGAAATAAGAATAGTCAAAAAATGCCCCCAGATGGTCAAAATATAATCCACAAATCGTCCCTGGACTATTTCTGGACTATTTGTGCATATCCCCCCCCGTAGAGGGGCACGCCCGACTTTGACCCGAGTCCCCCCAAACTGGAGGCAGCCGGGGGCTCCGAGCTGGCTGGGGCCCCAGAGGTGAAGCCGGATCCGTTCAGAGTCGGCTCCCGCAGCCCTCCCGGGGTCCATCTGGTGCAGCTTTCCACCCCGGATCCGTGTTTGAGTGTCCCGGGGCTGAATAGAAAACTGCTTCGGCCGAAAGGTATGATAAACAACGTCTCCGAACCCAGCGTCCCGACTTCCAGACGGCAGCTCCTGGACGCGCCAGAATGGCCCACGACGCTCAGACCTCGATCCTCGATCCCCCCGAACCTCGCACCTGGATCCTCGAAGCCGACAGATCGGGAGGATGAGGAGGAGGCGGAAAACGAAGAAGATTACGGCGATGACGACGACGACGACCTAGAGAGCGCTGACGACGACGACGAACGCCGACGACGACGACGCCGACGACGCCGACGTCGACGTCGACGTCGACGTCGACGACGACGACGTCGACGACGACGTCCCCCTGGGGCGCCCCCTGGGGCGCCGGGCCATCACGGCGGATGCGAAGGGGGGCGCCTGCAGCAGCGACGAGGCCGGGCTCCACTGCTGCGCCATCTCGCCCAGCTTCTCGCGCACCCGCAGCGCGGAGCGTCGTAGCCTCGGCCCGCCCGAGTCCTCGTCGTCGTCGTCGTCGTCGTAGTCGTCGTCACTCTCGCCGCCTTCCCTGCCGCCGTAATACTCCTCGCTTTCCTCGTCCTCCTCCTCCTCCTCCTCCTCCTCCTCCTCCCTCTTCTCCTCCTCTTCCCTCCTCCCTTTTCCGCCTCCTCCACCCTCCTCCTCCTCCTCCTCCTCCTCCTCCCCTCCTCCTCCTCCTCCCTCCTCTCCCTCCCCCCTCTCCCTCCTCCTCCTCCTCCTCCTGCTCCTCCTCTCCCTCCCTCCTCCTCTGCTCCTCTTCCCTCCTCCTCTTCCTCCTCCTCCTCCTCCTCCCTCCACTCCCCCCCATCGTGATCAGAAGCCCCCACCCCCCCCCTGTCGGACCAACAGACGTGTCTTTAGGGCGGCCTGGTCGTTCATTTTACGATCTCGAGGCTTTGGAGTTATGACGGTCACACGAGAGAAGGGCAACTGTTTTTTCGACATGGGGGTCCAACTTTGGTGTCGGGGGCACTCGTCTCAAACACCCAATGCAAGCACACTGATGAGAGCGGATTGTCTCCCAAATGGGGCTTCCGCCTCGGTGCCGCACACGCTCGTGATAACATCGCCAGGCGACCGCGCAGGTTTTTTTGTTCAAGCAGGGACTCTCGCGTCGGCGCCGCCCACCTGCACGCGTCGTAGAAACTTCCAAAAGCTACACGGATGGAGGCCGGCTTCTTGCTAAACTGGCGCTCTTGCCTCTGCGCGGCACACGCTCGTCCCAAAACCCTGGAAGACAAGTGCGCGGATGGAGTGCGGATGGTTTTCGCTATGGTGCTCTCGCCTTGGCAACGCACACATATATTGGCCTCAAGCTCCTCCCAACATTTACACGTCTGGAAGGTTGTCCTTTGTAAGAATGGGGATCTCACGTGAGACGTCGCTGGGCAGTATGACCAGATGCATCGAAACGTGCAGCAATTACATCGAAAGGCTGTCGCTTTTTGAGACATGGGGCTCCCACTTGAAGGCGATTTTTTCCAGCATGGGTCCATCATTCGAAGGATGGAAGACATTTCTATTCAGAGCGCGGGTTCCCACCAGACTTGCAGGCCTAAGGGACGCTTGTCTTTCAAGGTGGCGCTCCGCGCAGAGAGACAAGGATGCCTGCCGGGACTCTTGTGATGAGGGGGGTCAGGGCGGCAAGGAGTGCTGCCGTACCCGTGATATATCTCGAGTTTGCACTGACCCTCCTCCTCCCCTCGCGCGTAGCATCGGAATGAGTTCATCAGACACACATCTCGGCCTGCTGCAGCAACTGCGCCCCTGCGGCACGTGCACACGAAGAAAGATCCAGAGGCAACGCGCGTGCATGACTGCGGATGTTGTACACATAGAATGCAATGATGGGCCTCTGGCTCGCTAGGTCACACTCCTCGTCGGTGAGAGACCAGGGACCCTCCTCCTCCCCTCCTCCTCCCTCCCTTCGCCATCGAGTTGTGGTGCGCAGCGCAGGAGGCTCGACGGAGCCGCCCGCGGCCTCTCCCCCCCTCGACGGGGGAAGCCGTGGAGGGCCAAATCCGTTTCGCGTCCACCCGCTCGACGTTTCGGCCTCCTGGCCCGTGGAGTCGAGCTCCTCCTGGGCGCTGGCGTATAGCGGAGGCAAGTCCACAGGAAACCTTCCACAAGAGACCAAGCCCTGAGACCCCAGGACGTCCATTGGTTTTTGGTGTGGGAACGTCACGCTTTCCATAGCAAACCATCGAAACCCAAGAAACCCAGGGCACCCTGGCATGGGTGCTTTGGCATGGGTTTCCACTGTGGGCGGCCCCGATCAGAGGGGATGCGCCGCCCGCCTACCATTTCTGGCCTTATGGCGTTCGTTACCCTGCGGACGCTTGCCAACCGGGAGAGGGGGGGTTCTCCTCAGGGGCGAACCCTTCTGGAACGCGCCAGACAAGGGGGCGCTCCCTCCTCCCTCCTCAGGGGCGACACCTCCTGGAGCTCTGAAAGGCATGCGTGTACGATGATCCTCCGAGACGCCGCTCTGCGGCCAAGTTTGATCCCAACCACCCGAGGAGGGAGGGAGGAGGATGGGGAGGGAGGGAGGGAGGAGGAGGAGGAGGAGGAGGAGGAGGAGGAGGGAGGAGGAGGGGGAGGGAGGAGGGGAGGGAGGGAGGGAGAGGAGGGAGGGAGGAGGGACGGGAGGGAGGGAGGAGGGAGGGAGGGAGGGAGGGGAGGGAGGGAGGGAGGAGGAGGAGGAGGAGGAGGAGGAGGAGGAGGAGGAGGAGGAAAAGGAGAGGAGGAGGAGGAGGAGGAGGAGGAGGAGGAGGAGGAGGAGGAGGAGGAGGAGGAGGAGGAGGGGGAGGAGGAGGGAGGGAGGGAGAGGAGGGGAGGAGGAGGAGAGAGGAGGAGGAGGAGGAGGAGGAGGAAGGAGGAGGAGGAGGAGGAGGAGGAGGAGGAGGAGGAGGAGGAGGAGGGAGGAGGAGGAGGAGGGAGGAGGCGGAGGACGAGAGGAGGAGGAGGAGGAGGAGGAGGAGGAGGAGGAGGAGGAGGGAGGAGGAGGAGGGCCACGCGCCCAACCCCCGACCCCCCCCAGGGCCAGGGGCCTCCGTGCGGACGGGCCCCCCCCCCCCCCGCAGAACCGACGTCTTGGCGGAGCCTTCCCCCCGGGGGCGCCCGGAGTGCCGCCCCGCACGCCGAGGCACCCCTCCGGGGGGGCTGCTCTTAGCCTCCTGCCCCCTCCCTTGTAAGTTTAAGTCGGGCGTGTCCCCCTACAGAGGGATTTTCGACGAAAAATACAACATATTCCAAACATGCTCCCATATGGTCAAACGTATTAAAAAGAATGGTCCCCAGACTATTTTCTTGACTAATTTTTGTATATTCCTCCTGTAGAGGGACAGGCCCGACTTAATTGTAAGCCGGCGGCGCAGAGGATCCTCAGGCGCGAGCGGCAACTGGAAGCGCTACTTGCGATCGAACGTGGTCGAAAACAGTGTACAAACCGTGCACACCGTCAGTGCAGCGAAGCCTCCTTACTCCTCCCCATCGCGCCTCAGCCGTCCTCCTCAGGACCACCCCAATTAGAGCGCTCCACAGGAAAAGGGTGCGCCTCGGATGCGCCGAAAGCTTGAAAGGTCGACTTCGCGCCCTCGGCGGAAGCTGGCAGGAGGTCCGCAGCAGTTAGCGGAAGTACAACGAGGGTTGCTTCGCTGGCAGAAGGCCAACGGAAACATCCCAAGCCAAGCTGCGGGTCGCCCGCGGGGGCCGGACGGTTCCTCCTCCTTTCCCCTCCTCCTCCTCCTCCTCCTCCTCCTCCTCTTTCTCCTCCTCCTCTTCCTCCCTCCTGCTCCCTCCTGCTCCCTCCTCCTGCCTCCTGCTCCCTCCTGCTCCCCCCTCCTCCCTCCGCCCAGCGAAGCCAGAATTGGTGCTCACCTCGTGACGAAGGGCGGCTCCCAGGCATTGGGGTTAAGGTCGTGTGTCCCGCCTCAACGACCGCCTGCAGATGCATCTGTGAAAGCATGCCTAGACCGCCTTCCTCCTGCCTTTTCCGTCGTCCTCCTCCTCCCTCCTCCCTCCTCCCTTCTTCCTCCTCTCCCTCCTTCCTCCCTCCTTCCTCCTTCCTCCTCCTCCTCCTCCTCCGCCCTCGTGGTCCCGGTTGGATCCGCCTCGGAGTTCTGGCCAGAGCGAAGTTCGGAGAATCCAGGGGGGATTTTATTGAGCGAGGGGCCCATGCCACTTCGCGTCGGGAACAAAACAGCGAGAGGTCCGTCAGCATGTTCGGTTTCCTGAGAGCTCTTGCTTGGCACTGGGGGTGTCCAAAATTTATTCGGGATTCGAAAATTGCCTTGGCGAAGGGGTCCACGTGTGGGGTTTCTCCGAAAGGCTTAGGCGACCCGTCCTCCTCCCTCCTCCTCCTCCTCCTCCTCCTCCTCCTCCCTCCTCCTCCTCCTCCTCCCCTCCTCCTCCTCCTCCTCCTCCTCCTCCTCTTCTTTCTTTCCTTCTCTTTCCGCCTCGACGCGCTCGCCGAGAAGGTCCGCTACCTCGGGCTCCTCACCGCCACCCTCGTGCACGCGTGCGGGTGCGCGGGGCGCGCGGCGTGACCACGGCAAGGCGGGGTCGCACAAAAACATACTATTGCATAAGCCTACGGGCGGGTCCCCCCCGGCCTGCGGGCCCCTCCCCTGGCCTGCGGGCCCCTCCCTGGCCTGCGGGCCCCTCCCCGGCCTGCGGGCCCCTCCCCGGCCTGCGGGCCCCTCCCCGGCCTGCGGGCCCCTCCCCGGCCTGCGGGCCCCTCCCTCCCTCCCCCTCGTCGTCCTTCTCCGCCTCTTCGTCGCCGTCGTCGTCGTCGTCGTCCTCCTCCTCCTCCTCCTCCTCTTCTTTCTTCTCTTCCTCCTCTTCCGCCTGGCCCTCCCTCTTCTCCGTCTTCTTCCTCTCCGTACTCCAGCCTGCTGCTCTCCAGGGCCAGGTCCTGCGGGACAACGCTCCCACCCCGGAGCCGCGGGGATATAGGCCCTGCGGGGTGTTTCCACCCAGCCCGGGATGGACGCTACCCTGCGGGGTATAACCACCTACCGAATGCTCAACCGAATGCTCCTCCTCCTCCTCCCACCCCATTCCCCGTTGCAGAAAAAACCTCGGGCGCAACTCTTTCCGACGGCGACGAACGCCGAAGAGGGCGATGATGGCGGCGGCGACCGCGCGGGCGACGGCGACCGGCGCGGCCGACGGCGGCGGCGACCGTCGCGGCCGACAACGGTGGCGGCGACCAGCGCAGAGACCGTCGGAGGGCAACGACGGCGGCGGCGGCGGCGCCGGCGCCAACGACGGCAGCGACCAGCGGCGACCCGCGGGCCGGCCCTCCGCCCGGCCCGGCGCCCGAGGGCGCGGCTCGGGGCAGAGCTTCTGGACCAGGAAGGCCTCTGCCGGGGAGGCGGCGGGGGTGCCCGGGCCCTCGAGAGCACGGTCGATGTGCACCGTGGCTTGTTTTGTTTACAAGGGGGGGGGCGTGGCCGTCGGGGCCGGAAGATGATACCGGAGAAAAGCCCCAGTCATAACCTTTTTAGGGCTTCAGGGCTATGGGGCTATAAGGCTATAGGGCTAGAAGGCTATGGGGCTGTAGGGCTACAGGGCTACAGGGCCATAGGGCTATAGGGCTATTGGGCTATAGGGTTATGGGGCTGTAGGGCTATAGGGCTACAGGGATATAGGGCTATAGGGCTATAAGGCTATAAGGCTGTAGGGCTATTAAGGCTATAGGGCTACAGGGCTATAGGGCTATATAGAGCTACCGGGCTCCTGGGCACCCGGGCACCTGGGCACCCAAGCCCCCGGGCACACGGGCACCCGGGCGTGCGGCGAAAATCGGCGCCGCAAACCTAACCTAATCATATGCATCCGCTAGGGAGGCAAGCTCTGATTTGGGAATATAGCCAACATTGAGGCGAGAGCGCGATTCCTGAATACATTGTGAGGAACTCTCCAGCGAAACGGCTGCCTGACCGCCGCTGGACCTGGCGGTCTTGGTCTCCCCGTCACATTTTTTGTTTTAATGATCTTTTAAACGCATTTCTCCACACGGAGAAATCTGTAGCGAAAGGTTATTTGGGGAGCACGAGTCTTACGCGAGAAAACATGGCGAACCTACGCCTCGGCTTACGCGGGCCGCCAGCGTGGCACACTGCGCGGAGAAGAGGGCGCTTACGCGCGGCCTTCCGCGGGAAGCTAACGCGCGAAAGGCGGCGCAGTCGACCCTGTTCTCTTCCCTCGCTCAAAGTGAAGGGCAGCGACAGGGCGGGGCTGGCTCAGGGGGGTAAGCGCGGAGCCCGCCGACAGATCTGCGATGTGCCCCAGAGAGCGAGCCCGCACGCTCGTGGCAGGAGCGGACCATCAGGCCCCTATCCGCGATCAGTGGGCGAATGGGGCTCGATGCGCCCCCCCTGAGCCGCTCCCCGCCCCTGGTGGTTCTCGGGCCCCGCCTCCGACGGCCCATGGGGGCGGTCCGGGCAGCCCCCGGAGCGCCCTCGGCGAGGCACTCCCGCTGCAGGGCATCCCGAGGCGGAGGGACTGCGGACGAACCGACGAGAACATTGCCCCTGGGCCCGAGAGCCCCCCCCCCCCCCGAGCGTATCCCCCCCCCCCCCGACGCTGCCCCTGGAGGGGGCGTGTGGCAGAAGCGCGGGCGGCCCTGCTGAGTTCCCAAGGGTCCCAGACCTCCCCGCGCCGTGAAAACGGCACGGCCGATCGCCGCCCTCGGCCTCTTGGGGCCCCTGCCAGGCCCCGGGGATGGTCAAGACACGGCTCTGGGTGGAAAGCTGGTCCCGGGGAAGCGGCTTGGACCTTCGGAGATCCACGTGAGCGACAAACATGGACCTGTCTTGCGCGATGGGGCATGGCGACCCTGCGCGGTGGCTTTCGCGGGCCGCCAGCGCGGCACGCCACCTTTGAAGCGAGGGCGCTCACGCGTGACCTCACGCGGGCGGCTTGCGCGCGAGTGTCGGCGCAAAGGACTTTTGCTTTGTTGAAGCATCCGTGTGCAGCCAGCATCTGTGGGCTTCTCGAAGATGCTTTGGCCAACGTCCGCCGCCACGCCACCGCCCACGAGCGTCGCGCGCTCATGGAGGAGGAGCGAGGGACATGGGGAGGATCAGGAGGGTCCGAAAAACATACGCCACCACCACCTCCATTCCCCCTCCCACCTCCACCCTCATCTTCCTCTCCTCTCTCCTGGGAGGGGGAGGCGATGAGGGAGGTGGTGGTGCTGTGCACCTTGGGGCCCCGCAGGTGAGGAGGGGGAGGATGGGCCAAGGCGCTGCGCGGAGATCCCCTGCGGCCCAAAGCGTGCCCCTCCCTTTGGCACGTTCTGGCCAGCATCTCGAGGCGGCCCCAGCCGTGGCGGCGAAGGCGCCGCCAAAAAGGCTCCCACAAGAGCCCCGCCGCCGCAAACCTCGACCCTCGAACCTGGAGGCCTCCTGTGGGAGCCGCACACATACACGCCGAGGTATGCGAACCGCCGCCCGAAAGCTCAGTGTGTGTATGTGTGTGTGTGTGTGTGTGTGTCCATCTTATGCCCGCGCATGAGGAACCTCTGCACCGCTGTCTTAAACAATTGTATGTGTGTGTGTGTGCGTGTGACATATTGAGCGTCTCGCGCTCGCTAGGTCTACTCCGAAAACTGTCCACAATACCGTGCGGGGTGGCAGTTGCAAGCGTCCCGCACATCCGGCGGTATGAAATGTTGTAAATGCGCGGCCCCAGAACTCCGAACCCCTCTCCAGAAGGCAAACTTTCGTCCCTGACTCGTTTTTCGTGGTCCCGGGGCCCAATGACGGGTCCCTGTGGTCGAAATCGAAGTGAAACCGCCAGGATCGAAACTTACACAGGGACGTACCCAACCCCCTTGTTATACTTTTTGATCGCGACCGTAGCGACAAATCGCTCGGCGTCAAGCCCCCCTTTTTATACGCGAGCCGGCTAGAAAAAGGACTGCTCAAAAGAAAAGAGCACATTGAAGGATCCGCGGAAAGTGGCGACAGCTGTGCCATGTGGCAGCGCCCCAGGGGGTCGCGAGGTCTAGTCTGGACGCGCGTGAGACGCCACTCCGCTGGAACCCCCAGGCGCCCACGAAAGCGACGATCGTGGGGTAGTTCGCACCCCCCGCTGGGGCGACGTCTCAATCTGATGTGCGTGAAGCACGGCTCGGCTGGACCTCCCATGAGCCCACGACCATGTCGATAGTTGCGCCATTCGCAGCCCCCAGAGAACCCGAGGTATCATTCTGACGTGCATGAGACCCCGCTCCGCTGGACCTCACGGCAGTCCACGACATTGGCGACAGTTGCGCAGCTCGCAGCCACAAGGGGGGGCGAGGTTTAATTCTGGACCTCGCAGGAGCCCACGACTCTGGCCACGATTGCACAGTTCGCAGCCACGCGGGGTGGGTGAGGTCTCATTCTGATGTGCGTAAGACACCACTCCTCTGGACCTCCCAGGAACCCACGAACCTGGCGACGGTTGCGCAGTTCGCAGCCCCGCGGGGAGGGCGAGGGCGAGTCTGGGTACGCGTAGGGCGCCACTGCGTAGGGACTTGCGCAGTTCGCAGCCCCGCGAGGGAGGGCGAGGTCTTCTTCGGGTGTGCGTAGGACGTCACCCCGCTGGGCCTCCCAGGAGCCCACTATAGTGGCGATTGTTGCGCAGGTGGCGCTTCGTAGGCAGCAGAACTGGAAGAGCCACTGAGGACGCGCGATTGTTGCGCAGGTGGTAGCTCCCCAAGGAGCCCATGAAGAGTGCGTTCCTGGGAAGCAGCAGGAGCCCCCCGGCAGGAAAGGTAGGAGGTACGAAGTAGGAGGAGGGAGGCAGCGAGACAGAGGAGGGCGGCGGGAGGAAGACAGTGGGGAAGAGGAGGGGGAGTAGGCCAGGAGAGGAGGAGAAGAGGACGGAGACCACAGCGCTCTACTCAAGGCGAGCCCGATGCAGGAGTGTTGGGAAAACAGATCGTCAGAGGTGTGGAGTTGCAGGCGAATCCCAAAATTTCGACGTTCTGTTGTTGTTGTTGCTGTTGTTGTTGTTGTTGTTGCTGTTGTTGTTGTGGTTGTGGTTGTGGTTAAGGTTGTGGTTGTGGTTGTGGTTGTGGTTGTGGTTGTGGTTGTTGTTGTTGTTGTTGTTGTTGTTGTTGTCCACTGCGGGGTCCTTCGAAACTCCGACCCCGTTTTCCATGGCGACGTGGTCCTTCGCTCTGTGTCGGCCCCGCCTTCCTGTGCCCTGTCTCCCTAATCAAAGCTGTGCGTAGCCCGCCTAGCTTTTTAGCGGAAGAGGCTCGCTCTCGCCCCGCAGACCAAAAAAGAGTTCCTTCACTGCGCAGGGGCCTGGCCGAGCCCCCCCGAGACCGAAGCCGGCAACACACACCTGCCGCTTTCTCCCTACGACGCGAGCACGCCCGGGCTTGCGGGCCCCCCCTCGGCTCTCTCCGGCGGCCGTCCGGGGACGACCCGACCCCTTCCTCTGGGGCCATCCTTAGGGAATCGAGCTCTATTGTCGGCGAGCGAGGGGGGGAAGTGAGAAGGAGAAGGCTTTCTCAGAAGACGGCGGGACTTCTCAGAAGCCCTCGCGCCTTCTGAGAGTTTGTTTTCTGTTTTCGGGGTTGGCTTAGAAAACTTCTCAGAAGGCTGGGGGACTTCCGAGCCTTCTGAGAAGGCCCGCCCCTTAGGGAATCGAGCTCTATACACCGACGCTTCTTCCGGCCTTGCATTGGAAATTGCACTGGAGAGCGGATCCTGGTGTATACGGGACCCTGGTGTATACATTTCTCGTTGTTTCCCCGGGACATCGGGGAGAAAAGTATACACCACACTGCCCCAGCGTCGTCCTCGACCCTCAAGAAGTCCTGGGATTGAAAAACAGCCCGCCACTGGTAATGTATATGCTCAAATTTCCGAACCTTGAATCTTTTTTTGACGTTCCCGGGGGCTGGCGAGGGCCCCCAGGGGCCAGCGAACAACGACGCCCGTCTTGAGATCTTTTGTTTGCGACGCGAGCTCGTCTGGGCCGAGGGCCGATGAAAACTCCCGAAAACCTCAAGACCTCGAGCGCCGTGCCCTGGCAAGCACGTTCCACGACTCGCAAAGTAGCTGCTCGCAAAATGGCCTGGATCAGCCTCAGGGGGTGTACGATATATTACACAAGGGCAGACGCATAATTTTCAGGACGTTTGCGAGGGTCCCGGGGACTGGCGAGGGCCCCCAAGGGCTGAAAATAGCGAAAAGCCGCCCGTCTGTTTTTTGTTTGTTTGTTTGCTTGTTTTTTTTTGACGCGAGCATCGTCTGGGCCGAGGACCGACGAAGACTCCCGAAAACCTCAAGACCTCGAGCGCCGTGCCCTGGCCCACGGTGCCTCGTGGCGGCTCTGCAGCCTCGCGTCGGACGCCGTGCCGGGAGCCGTCGCCTCCAGCCTGGGCCGCACAGGGGCGGTGCCGCACCGCGCCAGAGGGGGTCGCCGCGCGGCGGCCCGGCCGACGTCTCTCGTCGGCGCGCCGAGGCCAGACAGGTCGAGGTTCGAGGGGAGGAGGGCAAGGAGGAGGAGGAGGAGGAGGAGGAGGAGGAGGAGAATGAGGATGAGGATGAGGATGAGGAGGAGGAGGAGGAGGAAAAGGAAAAGGAGGAGGAGGAGGAGGAGGCGGAGGAGGAGGAGGAGGAGGAGGAGGAGGAGGAGGAGGAGGAGGAGGAGGAGAGGGAGGACCAGTGGAAACCGAAGAGTCATCAACGACGTTGGAGGAAACCCTCCCTTCCAAGCTCCCTCTTCATATGCCCCTACAACTTTTGATTTCCACTGAGGGAACTGCCTCGTTGGAAAAACTGTTTGAAGACCGTGGATCATGCCAAACAAAGGTTCTAGGGATTTCAACGCCACGGATTAACCTGACTGTTGCGTCTTGCGGATCTTGAACCGTGACAGAACACCATTCCTGATACTTTAACACAGCGAATCAACGTACATGTTGCGCCCTTATAATCATGAATCCTTCTAAAAACACAATTCTGGTACGCTGACAATGGAAATCCGTGGAACTCTTGCAAGTCTTTAAAACGAATGTGCGCAGCGCTAAGGCGAGAACCACATTTTTGGAAAAGAACCGTCCTCAATCCGTGAAATCCGCCGGCCCCCTTGTGGGGCCACCAGGCTGTAGGCCCGTGATTCGCAGTTTCCTGTACCAGTCGTAGGTTGTAGTTTCCAGTGTTACAGTTCTGCTTCTTGCTGGTTACTGTAACTAGTTGATTGACCGCGCGAGGGGGGGGAGGCCCAAACAGGATTTTTAGCACCCCCTGGGCGCGTTGTCTGAATTGCTGGGGGGGCTCGAAATCGACACCCCTCACGCAGATCCGCGGGGTCAGGGTCCAAAAACACAGGGGATTTGCCACATTTCTGAAATTCGGTGCCACCCCTCACGCAGATCCGCGGGGTCAGGGTCCAAAAACACATGGGATTTGCCACATTTCTGAAATTCGGTGCCACCCCTCACGCAGATCCGCGGGGTCAGGGTCCAGAAACACAGGGGATTTACCACATTTCTGAAATTCGGTGCCACCCCTCACGCAGATCCGCGGGGTCAGGGTCCAAAAACACAGGGGATTTGCCACATTTCTGAAATTCGGTGCCACCCCTCGCGCAGATCCGCGGGGTCAGGGTCCAAAAACACAGGGGATTTGCCACATTTCTGAAATTCGGTGCCACCCCTCACGCAGATCCGCGGGGTCAGGGTCCAAAAACACATGGGATTTGCCACATTTCTGAAATTCGGTGCCACCCCTCACGCAGATCCGCGGGGTCAGGGTCCAAAAACACATGGGATTTGCAACATTTCTGAAATTCGGTGCCACCCCTCACGCAGATCCGCGGGGTCAGGGTCCAAAAACACATGGGATTTGCCACATTTCTGAAATTCGGTGCCACCCCTCACGCAGATCCGCGGGGTCAGGGTCCAAAAACACAGGGGATTTGCCACATTTCTGAAATTCGGTGCCACCCCTCACGCACATCCATCGCAAGGCGTGGTAACCCAAACTGCGAGTACTCCCTCGGCCCTTTAATCCCAAGGTGTGGTAACCAAGCTCGTAAACCATACACGTCTTACCAATCGCCCTGTGTGGTAACCCCTCTTGTGATCAGTTGGTTTTGCCGATTGCGAATCGGCCTCGCATGAAGTTCGACAGCGCCAAAGCCTCATGACTTAGCTCTTCCATGGCCCATTCTCCGAGAGAGGGGGCCGGCGGCAGGGGGCGAAGCCCTTACGGATAATCTGGCAAATGTTTAAAACGAATGTGCGCAGCACTAAGGCGAGAACCACATTTTGAAAACGACCCGCCCTCAATCCGTGAAGCTCTTGCAAATGTTAAAAACGACTGTACGCGGCGCTGAAAAGAGAACCACCTTTTGACCTCAATCCGTCAAGCTCTTGCAATTGTTGAAAACGAATGTGCACGGCGCTGAAGCGTAAACCACATTTTGAAAGCCACCCGCCCTCAATCCGTGAAGCTGTTGTCGTTTGTAAAGTTCCAGGGTCATAAATGGGGAGGAAGTCTCAGGCGAACGCCCAGCTTGCCCTACAAACTGGACTCGGGGTGCGACAGGGAGAAGTTACCTAGAAGAAAAAGGCATGGAGGAGGAAGAGGATGAGGAGGAGGATGATGATGATGAGGAGAAGGATGTTGTAACCAATGCGGCGCACGGCACTTAAAAAGAAGCGGATTCATCCAGGCAGAGCTGCTATGTACGTCGATGCCTTGACCAATACCAGATTGACCTACCAGGCGGCTCGTACCCAAGGCAACATACCAAGGCAAAGCTGGCGGCTGCCCATATGAACAGATAATTACAAGGCTGCGTGAGGAGTATATGGCAATGTGGGGAAGCAGGCAAGAGTCACAGACGAGGAGGTGCTGATCGAGGCAGGCCGCACAAAGATCTGGGAAAACCTGA